AACAGTTAGTCCTCTAACTATATTTTTTTATCTTTTAGTCCTCAAATTTATATTTGTTATAAAAATAGCTTTTATACTTAAAATTATTATTTTTAGGCTCTAATACCAGATTTTTATACTTAAAATTATTATTTCTAAGTGGTCTATTAACTTTCAGGCTCTAATTCTAAATTAAAAAAATAGGAAAACCCGTATAAAAATCTGATATCAGAGCCTATAAATAATAATTTTAAGTAAAAAAGCTACTTTTATAACAAATATAAATTTAAGGACTAAAAAATAAAAAAAAATATAGTCAGAGGACTAACTGTTCTCTAACAGAATAGGAAGTTTTCCATTATCTTTGACCAACTAGATGAAATTGAAATGAATCTGAAAGTTAATAGACCACTTAAAAATGAAACATAGTTTCTAGACTAAAATGAAATCAAGGTGATAGTTAATAGACTAAAAATTAAATTAAGCCATTTCTAAACTAGAAACTAAAGGAATAGAAAGAGGCTTCTAGCTATCTGTTTTGGAGACTTTGTGTTTGATATCTATTTTGTCAGACCATGATTATCATAGTTTCTACTATGTTGTTTTATGCTATTGTTTGAGTCTGGAGGTTTTGAAACCTATGCTAACTGCTAGTTAATTGTTTGGGCTCTCTAAGCTGAGCAACTTTGATTGATTCGACTTCTACATGGTAGGGAAGCTATGGTTGGCCCTAATTAATGTGGAGTGCATCACAGATTGTTAATTGGACTCCAAAGAGTCTGCGATTGTTTGGTTCTCTAGATTTTTTGGTAATCTAATTTTATTTGTTATATTTGAAGTTAATGATTTAGTATTGAATTTATGAAGAACCTATCTAAGAGATTTGATCTATATGGTTAAGCTATGCTTGCAACCTTCATGTTCTATCTTGTTTGGATTTTGGTTATGAGTTTTAACATGGATTATTTGATTATTCTTGTTAATTTGACTAAGAGCTTAGATACAGTTTTAGGTTATAACTTAGATATGCCTACTGAGCTTCATAGATCATGGTTGATTTTCCAACCATTTCAAGTTAACGTGTATGGCTAGCATTTATGGAAATCTGGAAATTTCCTTTGATATATGCAAAAAGGCTTTCTCAAGCTTGTAAGTACCAATCCTTTGTATGGCTTAGTTTTTTATAAGTTTTCTATGTACCAATCCTAGGTATGATATTATGATAAAAAGAGTTCTTCAATTAAACTAATCAATTTGTATACTTTGTAAATATATATTGAAATGAATTTCCTACTAAATACCTATATAAATGAGCTTGACTTTAAAATAAGCTATGTGTTTCACTTATTGATGGTGTTTGGCAAAGTTTTAAAAGCAAATTACCTTAAAAGTAAGTTCTTCTCTTATAAATTTAAAAATTTATTGGAAGAAAATTTAGAAATTGACTTTAAAATGGTTTTTTTTTTTTTCTGGAAGGAAAAGTTAAATTTATTACTAAATTGAGGATAAGAGGTATGGCCATATACATTAAGCCACTATTAACATATCAATCCTCCCCAGTACATATGTAATACAAAATGCAATGCACTAAGTGGTTTTTAAAGTAAATTTTGAAAGAACTAAACATTCAAATTTTTTCAAAACTTATTTAGAAACTACTTTGAAAGTCATATTTTGAATTAACAAATTTTTAAATTTGTGGGAGAAGAAAGCTTTGCCAAACACCCATCTTTGGGCTTGATACTTCTTGTGGACTGGGCTTGTAAAGCTTAACATTTAGTTCACTTATCTAGTAGATGAGATTATGCTTTTAAGTTATAAAGAGTTCTTGTTTTTAATTAGATTTTCTAAGCATAACAATAATTGATTTGCTCTACAAAATTCAAAATCTAGAGCCAACACTTTTCTCCCTTCGTGATTCTCTAAGCAGCTTGTTTTTCTTAGTCTACATATCAAGATTTTCTTTACATTGGGTTGATAGCCATAATCAAAGAGTTTTGAACTATGTTTTTCTTAAATGCATATAAGCGAATTTCCATTGATTTTGAAGTTTAGTTCCTGTTTGGATCCACACTTGGATACTCCTAGGGTGCTGTTGGTTTGGGTATGAGTCATGACAATGCATTCGTTGTATCACATGCAAAATACCTTAAATTTTAACAGAAAGATTCCAAAACAACAATGACAAAGTAAAAGAAATACCTAGAATTATCTTTAGTTAGCCACTCAAACAAAATTTATTAAAAAAAGAAAAGAAAAAGAAAAAAAACCCACTTAAGTCTTGCTAAAGCAAGTTACTATTTCTTTCCAATAGAATATGAGATTCAAGTTTTACAAGACCAATTGTACATTAAAAGTGCAGTCATTCTTATAAATTTACTTAAATACCCTTAATAAAATTATATTTAAGTAAACTCATAGAGTAAACTACACTTTTAATATACCATCTGTCCTATAAAATACTTTTTTAATAGAATATCATTAATCAGGTATAGTGATTACTTATTACATGATATAAATTTGTAGTAAGGTGTTCTCTTATTATTTTATTTTGGTGAGATGCTTTAATTTCACAATGGAAAGTTATAATATGGATCATACCTTTTCCATGGAGAAAAGCGGTAGTCGTACAGGGAAGTCAAGTTGCCCATGCTCGTCTGTTCTCTTTACTTGATTGAAATGGGAAAAGCAGAACTCATTTAACATTGGCCACGCTGTTGTGTGCTTCCCTGGGTAGAAGCATTGGAGTCTTGGTAGCACCTCAAGCTTAAGACTTGATACTCGAGGAAATTCAAAGTTAATAATTACTTCAGCTTCTTGTTCTCCTATTGTGACAATTTCCTTCACCCCGCACCAGTATAAATGTAGCTTTTGGAGTTGCACAAGGCTTTTGCCTATTGAAGTTGGAAACAAATTTTTGAGACTCCCACAACGACTTTTTGAGACTCCCACAACGACTTACCTCCACTGATTCCAAGTTGTGAAAAGTGAGTATTCCTTGGGGATCCTTATTCCACACATGCTTCAATCTTGGTAGATCATCAATAATCAATTTTCTCAACTTGGTGTCATTTTACAACATGTGTTTGTTTGACATTGAACTTGTCAATTTCAAATATCCCTTCTAGCGAGCCACATTGATTTATAATTAACTCCTCTAAGGATTTCCAGATTCTT